AGCTGAAGCTTACAAGGAGCCGTTTTTGAGTGCCGTGCGGACTTTCGAATGGGACCAATTTTCAGCAGAATTCCGCGCTGATTCCAAATCTGTTTACTATTTTCGCGGCATAGACATTTTGCGAAAGTCATGAACGTTTTACAACCACACAGGCTTACCTAAAACGACCCCAAATCAGTTGCTTTCGATGGATTCGCGGCTTCGGAATAGGTTTTACAAAAGAAAGCTAGTAAGAAAAGAAACTCTATAAAATAAATCATTCTAATCAAAATTACTGGAACCTGACAAATTTTATCCATTTGATACGGCCCATAAACGTTTCCAAAATTTTGAAAATTTTGAAACTTTGAGTGCAGTAGCTTATTTGGTAGAGAATTTTTCTGAACAAATGCACCAGCTGGTTTTTTTACTAAAAACTTTTTCTAAGTCCCTCGAAAGTAGCTAAACTGGGCGTTTTTAAATTTAAATAGTTGATGACTTTTGAGAAATGGCTATTCCGCAAAAACAGTACCCAGGTCGCGAATCAGCGCAAAATCCTGCACAAAATAGGCCTGGTCCCATCCCAAAGTCCGGACGACGCCCAAAAACCTCTCCCTGTCAGCGCCAACCTGAAATAGAAAGATCATACAGAAGTGCCGGTGCATTAGCCGGGTTCTTTTGCTAACCGCTGGGTCCCTACGGACCAAGAGATAGTCCTCAATATTTGCGTAGCATACGTAGAGGTAAGCAAAAAATGTGAATATGACAACGACCAGCACGATTAGAATCAGAGGCCGAAATTCGGTTCCTTGTGGCATAAAGTAGGCGCCTTCGACACCGCAAACGTGAAAATCGAGCATGCAAATCTGAAAGTATGCTATTGGGCTCTGCCCTTCGAACGATTTGATATCAGAAACTCGTAATTTCATAATCTCCAAATTTCATGATCTCGCAGTTTGAGATTCTCGCAGTTTCAGAATCCCGCAATTTCAGAGTCTCGCAAATGCACTTAGGCCATAACAAATGCGAAATTATGAGAATACGAGATTATGAAAATGTGAGATTCTAAAATTGCGAGATTATGAAATTGCAAGATTATGAAAGATTCCCTCTCCAAACATATGCGGTAAATGACGAATCAAACGAAACCACGATGGCGGGCAGCTTCAACGCCCCGCTTCATCTCAAAAGGATTTTGACAATAGCTCACCTGAACGCCATCATCAACCAGGAGCCGAAACGTATACCCCAACCAAATACAGCCCCAGCCGCCAATCACCAAAATAATATAGCCCGAGAGTAGGTAGCGCTTGGCTACGGCATGCAAAATCCGGTGCTTCTGCGACGCGTGCGCCGTTTTCAGCACCCCGTTGTATACCACGGAGGCAATGGAGTGCACCAAGAAGGTCCCGTAAAGGCTCTAAAATACAGGCTGATGATAGTGATGAGGAAGCTGACCCTACCACGAGCACATGCAGCTGAAGGTAGCTGAGACGAAATCCGCTCAAAGGTTTCAGGGCAAAATACGGCGCATAGAGGATCGGCTTCGCCATGCAGATGGTCGTCTCGGTAAGTTCGGAGGCGATCTGCGAATCATCGAGAGAAAGCTTATTTTTTCCCAGATTCCTGGCTAGTTAGACTTTCAAGTCATTAGGGAGCATCATCCAAAACATCAAAACCCTACCACCACATTCAACTGCACATATTTATACTCCTTCGTCAGGTGCGCCTTTCCACTATGAAGGAAATACAGAGTGAGCACAAAAAATGGAAAGCCAAAAGCCCAAGAAAAATAATAGACACCGGCGATCCATAATTCTTCTTCATGGGACGGGTAGAACATCAGGACGGTGAGTTCTGAGAACGACAACTCGTCAACTTGTCTGAACTAGCCAATCGCCCGGCTACGAGGCGGCAGGTGGTTTTTGGGAAGCAATTCCAAAAATACACTGAAAGGGACCGTAATTATGGGGGCCATGGAGCTCTCCTAGACCGCCGCCTTTAGCAAATAGGTTTCTTCTGAGTTTTTTTTTTGCATTTCCGGTGCAAGACAATTTTTTGTATTGAAGGGTGATGGGTTGACCATCATAGAGCTGCGTTTTATTCAACGGCCGGACGTTCATCACTGACCGGACCCGTTTTTTGAAGCATGTGAAGCGGTCCAGGCAATTTGTGCATGACACGAAGCGCCGCTTGCCATTTCACCGGATTCACAGTCACTGGCGTGTGATCGGCCCAGGGGTTTAGCCTCTAAATGACGGAAATTTAACTCCGAAAAATCACATAAAATCGGATCCTATACGGACTTACCAAATACGTTCTGCGGACCAATTGATAGATCGCCATTCGATCGGGCTTCGTGGCGATCAGGATCACAAGATTATTTGCGAACGCGTGGAGCCCGGTACAAAGAAAAGCCAGGCCGACAGCTGGAGCACAAGGATTGGAGTCCTGTTTATTCCAACTTACTACAGATTATGAACTCGTTGTTTGTAAATCCCAGCAAAACTGAGAGTGCCAGGAAAATTGGCGCCGCCAGGAATGATAGCGCCATCGTTGACTGAAATTCGGGTCTAACTGGCTATTTTCAAAAAGTCAAAATTCAAAATTTGGAAGTAGATCATGTTGAATTTCATAATTTCGAAATTTTGTCAGGATATCGACATTTTAAATAAGCAAAGTTATCGGAAAGTACGATGCAAAAATTTCGAAATGATGAAACCTGCAAAATTGCCAACCTGCAAGAGAAAAAAAACAAAAATGCCGATGCATTTGCCGAGTCCGCTTGCTGATCGTCGGGTCCGTATGCACGGTAAAATGGTATCTAATATTCAAATAGCACACATAGAAATATGCAATGGTGGTGAACAGGCAAATGACGGCGCCGACCCATGCGAGCGGCATTAGTTCACTGTAAAGTGTTTTTACTCAAGTTGGAGTTTCGATTCGGGACCAAGTGCATCTTGTGCAAAATTTTTTGCTGATACCGAATCCGTTTTCCAAATTTGCTGCGGACTTTTTATTCTTCATTTTTGGTGCAAATTAAGCTTGAAAAAGCCAAAAATTCGGATCCTGGTCCACTATTCCCTCCATGGTTCTGCCTCTCCCAGAGGCCCTGAAGTACTCTGTCACGGCTCCCCTCCCGGTTGGCACCATGGTGCATTGGCAAAGTACTCGCTTGCCAAGCGCAGGGCGGCGATTCGGATCCCCGCCCTGCACCTTTCTTTTGCTTTTTGCATAAAAAACTTCATTTTTTATAAAAAAGCTTGTTTTGACTTTTAAGATGCTTGTCTAGCCAATCTCTAGCCAATTTTGAAGTTGAAATTGATCAGGAAAATCGAAAACGATAACGGTTCCTTGATTTTGGTGAAAAACCCTACCATAACTGCTGTATAACTTTCAAAATAAAAGTCCGCAGCAAATTTGGAAAGCGGATTCGAAATCAGCGAAAAATTCTGCACAAGATGCACTTGGTCCCGAATCGAAACTCCAACTTGAGTAAAAACACTTTACAGTCAGTCACATGTTGAACAAAAAATACACGCTCGATGCCGCAAAAGTGGTACTCTAGCAGGCAAATCTGAAAGTAAGAGTAGACCTCACGGTAAAGTGGTTAGACTCAGGCTTGCAAAATTTTGCGCTGATCCCGAATCTGTTGTCAAAATCTGCTCAATGACAAATGTTTAATAGTGACAATGTATGTAAGTGTTCTACAATGTTAAGAGCCCCTAACTTCAATGTGCGGTACAAATCGCCAGAAAAAGTTTCGGGAAGTGTTAGATAGCAGGTTTTTCCCGGAAAAACGTAGGGGCCCCCAAATGCCTTGGGGGCGAACCTGGCCCGCTTTGGAACTGCCATTAGAAAGAAAGCAATTTCCAAGAGATAATAGCTAAAAATGTTGTAGAAAATCTAGCTAAAGAATAGCAACGTACTTTCCACCTTTCCAGGGGCGTTTTGCTGTCGATGCGACCCTTTTTCAGCTGAAACAGCGTGCCAAAACCCCTTATAGCCCAGAACTGGGCCGCCTTCTATCCAATCCGGCTCAAATTTTTACCATCGATGGGTATCACTCAGTCCTTCGTTTATGGAAATTTTTAGTGAAAATGAAAAACTTATAGCCAATACACTGGCTTCTCCAACTTCGAGAGGGGGTTTTGGGGGCACTTACGCGAGGGAAAGCGTCGATGGCAGCGCCGCGGCGGTCCGTCACCCCGACGGACGCCGGCCCATCTTCCTGCAACGCTTTAATATACTTTATTTTCCCTAACAAAGAGCGGTGTCCGATTTTTCGACAAAAACCGACACTAATGACGAAGACATTTTATTTTTCAAAATCTGATGTTTGTGCAGTTGTCTCGAGACCAGGCTTGGTCATTTTCGGATCGGACTGGGTCCGGATCCAGATCCAGGGCGGATCCGATCCGTTCCGGATCCAAGGAAATGGATCATGAAACCATGTTAAATGCTAATTCTAAGATGCAAAGATCATTTCTGCATCTGCGCAATGTAGTTTTGCTTAGGCCGAATCAGCATCAGAATGACATGACATAAACATGACCGAATCAGCATCAGAATCGAGAATATTACTTCCGGTCCCTTTTTTCCTCGGATCCGGATCTGGATCTAGATCCGGTTCCTACTGCGGATCCGATCCGGATCCTTACCGATCCGGGTCCAATTTTGAGAATAATCGGATGAGGAAAACGGAGTTTTACTGTAAAAAAAACCATACCAGCAAATTCAATTGCGCAAGCTTGTATTGTCTGGTGAGCGGGGCCTTTCCGCAAAGGATAAAATACACGGTTAGGCCGAATATCAATATGCCAACAGTAATGAAGAAGAAATCGTAGACCGACAATCAATGCTTTTACTTGCTCGGGCGGGTAAAACATTTTAAAATGCAATGATGTCGTCCGGGAGTCGGCGCTTTCATTGCCTGACAGGTGATTTTTCAAGAAACCTATTCTTCATGATTTTATTAAATTGCAAACGTTGCCTGGCTTAACCCTGCCGATTTTTCAAGTGCAGTGGGTCGCTCCGGGATTATAATTGGCGTCACATCTCCAAAGCGAGCGCGACAGCGGGTGGTGAACCTCTAAATTCAAAAGGTTTATGGCAAAAAATGTGCATAAATTTTAACGACAATTCAACATACCCAAAATATTCGTTGCAGGTATCGGAATATCGCTTTCCTGTAAGCGCTCGTAGCCAATAGTATTGCCGAATTATTTGCGAGGCTGTGTAGGCTATTCCAAAGTCCGAAAAGTCCAACTACTACAAAGTATAGCACTATTTGGTTTGTTAATACACCGTCTACCCGAAAGTATCACCTCCCAGTCGGTATAATTCAAATAAACCGAAAGGATAAGCGCAATTGGTACTGCTATCAACAAAAAGGCGAGGCCTGTCTAAAAATGTCTTTCCTCGCGCTATTATTTCAAACTTTACTTGTATAACAAATATCATACAAAAGTAGCGATACATTTGCCGTGTACGCCGGCTCAGCGTAGCGTTATACTCAGTCGCAAAATAATTTTTGACATTCATGCCAAAGACGCCGAGGTAGAAAAGTGCGGAGGCGCTGACCACAGTGGCACACAGCCAGATATACGGCTGCATTTGATCAAATTGTCGGAAAACTACGAGATTTTCGATACCACATAAAGCAGTGTCGATCCGACAGATCTGAAGAACTGGTTAATAAGGCTGTGATCTGACGCGGACGTGCTTCCGGACAAGCACTCCTTAAAAATCTACCTTTTCCGGGTCGTTGATCAAAAGCCCGAGCCAGTACACTTTCCAAACAAATGCATGACCACCAATCAGAACCGAAACGTAGACAAACAAGATGTAATACTTTGCGGCGGAATGAACCAGGCGATTTTTCTGGGTAGCGCTCCCCGCCTTCAACACCCCGATGTACATCAGCGCGCAAAACGAGTGCACCAGAAAGGTGCCGTAGACACTCTGAAAACAGCAAAAATCACCTTCTGTAAGTCTTCGCCTACCGCCATTATGTGAAGCTGAAAAAGGCTAAAATCTAGGCCAAGAACTTTGACGGCCGGAGACGGCGCGTAGATGATGGGTTTTAATAGGCAAAGAGTGGTATCGGCTAGTTCTGCGGCAATCTGAAAAATACTCAAGGTTCAGCAAAAATTTCTACACTGGTAATAACGAAAATGGCGAGAGAAATTGTAAGAAACTTTGGGCCAAAATACCGACAATCTCAAGTTGCGAAATTGGGAACGCCGGCAAACGAAATCGCGACTGTCAAAATTATCTACAGCAAAAATGCCGACAGGCATGATAGGCAGCTATGGACTTAACCCCAAATTTTTCAAGTTATACTAAATTTTTCAACTTTGATTTCTAAAGCTACCAAGCGAGCTGTTGGTTGCAAAAATTGTGCGGTATTTTGGAGCCGGCATTCCGGCTGTCGGGATTTTGTTTGTTTCTTTTCTCCTCAATTTCAACCCACCATCAAATTCGATTGGGCCACTTTATATTCCTTGCTGAGCGGTGTGATCTTGCTACGCATAAAATATACGGTAAGGGCAAAGGTGAACACTCCAAGAATCCAGAAGATATAATACAACCCGAGGACCCACACTTGAACCTCGTGAGACGGGGCAAACATTTGATTCTCGGGTGGATTGATGGGTTCCAGGACGAGAGCATAGCCAGACGCCCCCCATCTTTCCAGGCTCGGAATGCGCAGGTGGTTTCCGGTTTGTTTAGCCTGCTTCTTCCGTAGTTTCCCCCGAAGGACTTGCGCAAGTCATCTTCTGACAGCTGGTGCAGCTGGTTCGTGGTTTGAAATTGCGATGCGTCTGGATCCGAAGCCCGAACTCGGCCAGGACCACCGCGTTGCATTTCGCGGGTTGCGTTGGATAAGCCAAAAATTCATAGCGGCGCATAGCACATTCAAGCGGTCCTAAATTTCCACCTTTTTTGATTACCTCAGGAAACACTCACCAGCCAAAATGATAAGATCTGTCATTGCGATGACGCCCCGAGTTTCCTAATGCACGCGTCTGGAAAGTACTTTCTAATCCCCTTCGGCAGGCACCCGACCGATTTCCGATGATACTCCCAAAAATGGGTTTCCCGAAAATTGGTTTGCCGGAAATCGTAGTCCCGAAAAATCGGAGCCCCGAAAATCTGCGTTTCAGCGTGGAGTGCGGATCTCCCTGCCCGACTAATGGCTTTAACAACTTTTGGATTTACTGTATTTTTTTTCAGGCACAAAAGCATGTGAAGCAAAATTTTATTGAGCGACGTGATGTTCTTGTCTCGACTTGCTCTCCTTTTTGATCATTTTGTGAGGCGTTGCCCATTTCTTTATAACACGAACGGCCGCCTGCCACTGCACGGGTTCACAGTAACTTTCCCCGGCTCGGCCCACGGATTCAATCTCTAAACATCGCTCTGCCGGTGAGTTAGGCTGCCGACTAACCAGATAAACCCTGCCAACCCATCTCCGGATTGAATTCCGGTACGGCCGTGTTGCTATTAAAAGCGCCAAGTTGTTTGCGATGGCATGCAGTCCAGTCCAAAGAAAGGACAACCCCACAGCTACGATAAAGAACGGAAATGCTAATTGCAAAACTTGGCAGAGGGTGGGGCGAGGTAGGAGGGAGCCGAGATGACTCATGCTAATTTCAGAGCTAAAACCAGTTTTATGCTAGGTTTGCTGGGCCTTCCTGATCCCTTTAAGAGAAAGTCTGCTGTATCGAGCAGTTCAACGAGAACGCCACCGGCAAGGAGGCGTTTTTTAGTGGCAATCGCGTTTCCGTAAGGGACCAAGCCTATCTTGTGTAGCATTTGGCGCTGGTTCTGAACCTGTTTTCAAAATCTGCGAAACCATCCGATTCAAAAAGTTATACAGCATTCAGGGAAAAAGCAAAGTTTTGCCGAAAATGAGCCATTTTTGGGCCTTTTCCGCTGTCAAAACCTTCATTAGTTCGTGAATCGGACCCTTTTGCAGATTTTGGAAACAGGTTCAGAATCCGCGCAAAATTCTGCAAAGGTTGGTCCCATGCGGAAACCCGATTGTCACTAAAAAAACGTCTCCTTGTGACTTTGAGTTTGAGTAAGTTAATGGCTCAGACTTCGGCTCGTTGATGGCTCAAAATATTAGGCAGGAGTTTACCCTAGCCGGGCAGCCATCGTGTCTTGTTTCTTATTCTTGTCTGCATGGTGCACTTTATAATTTTATTGAACGCCTTGATGCTCATCATTCGATTGGCCGGTCTTTTTAACCATATGGAGAGGTCCCGGCCATCTATTAATAACGCGAAGCCCTGCTTGCCATTTTGCGGGCATGACCGTAACCGGCGTGTGGTCGGCCCACGGATTCAACCTCTAAATCAAGCTTGTATGAGCGTGAAAATGATTCTAGGAAAGCTTGCTCAATGCACATACCACATACACCCTGCATACCCATAGCCATATAGCATTCCTGTACGGCCGTGTGGCTATCAATATTACCAAATTATTTGCGACGGCGTGCAGCCCGGTCCAGAGAAAAGACAGACCCGCAGCTACACACAGTTGGTTAGTCAGTGGTACTACACCCACAGCAAATCAGCAACTCGCAGGCTATATAACCCAGATAAACCGTAAGGGCGAGGATGACTGGCCCTGCCAGAACCGATAATGCGATTGCCGACTGAAAAAAGGCCATAGCTGAAGATTACAAGGAGTCGTTTTTGAGTGCCGTACGGGCTTTCAAATGGGACCAATCTTGAGCAGAATTCCGCGCTGATTCGAAATCTGGTTACTATTTTGTTACTATGAACGTTTTGCAACCACACAGGCTTACCTAAAACGCCCCATCAGTTGCTTTCGTTGGACATAAAAGGCTTCGAAATAGGTTTTACAAAAAAACTAGCTAGTAAATTTTGTTTAGAAAAGAATTCTCTAAAAATGTACTATTCGACTCAAAATTACTGACCGATTTAGAGTTGTTATAACTCAAACAACAAACAACAAATTATTCAAACAACTCAAACAAGTTTGCTTTGTCTTAGCTCGAAAAGTTTCAAACAAAACAACCTTGTTTGTTTTGAGTTCCAGGGGATCAAATCAAACAAGATTGTTTGACTTGTTTGAACTTGTTTGAGCGCCCTAAACGGTGAGATTTTTGGGGATTTTTGATGGATCGGAAGTGAATTCAAACGTTCAAAAACAAATTCTACCGGAAAAAATTTATGCAAATTGCGAAAATGCTGAAAAATCACGCTTTAAATCCAAAATTAGCATACATTTCAGACAAGGTCAAACAAAACTCAAACTGCTCAAATAGTTCAAACATCTTGTTTTGTTTGAGCGATCAACGGTCATCTCAAACAAAACATGTTTGATTTGAATCTCCAAAAATCCTATCAAACAACGTTGTTCAAACAAGATTGTTTGAGGCCTTGTTTTGTTTGAATTATAACAACTCTAAACCAATTGACAAATTTTATACATTTGATGCCCATAAACGTTCTCAAAATTTTGAATGAAAACTTTGCGTGAACTAGCTTATTTGATAGAGAAATTTTTTTCTGAACAAATGCACCAGCTGGTTTTTTACTAAAACCTATTCCGAAATCTATCGAAAGTAGCTAACTTGGGGCGTTTCTAGATATAAATAGTTTATGATCTTTGGCAAATGGCTATTCCGCAAAAACGGTAACCATGTCGCGCAAAATGCTGCACAAAATAGGCTTCGTCCGGACGACACTCAAAAACGTCTCCCTGTCAGAACCAACCTGAAATAGAAAGATCACACAGAAGTGCCGGTGCATTAGCCGGGTTCTTTTGCTAACCGCTGGGTCCCTACGGACTAAGAGATAGTCCTCAATATTTGCGTAGCATACGTAGAGGTAGGCAAAAAAAATGAACATGACAACGACCAGCGCGATTCGAACCAGGGACCGAAATTCGGTTCCTTGCGGCAGAAAGTAGGCACCTTCGACACCGCAGACGTGAAAATCGAGCATGCAAATCTAAACGTTAGCTTTAGCTATTCGGCTCTGCCCTCCAAACATATGCGGCAAAATGACGTATCAAACAAAACCGCGATGGCGCACCTTCAACGCGCCGATACATATCGAAAGGATTTTGACAATAGCTCACCTGAACGCCATCATCAACGATAAACCGAAACGTATACGCCAACCAAATACTGCCCCAGCCGCCAATCATCACAATAATATAACACGAGAGCAGGTAGCGCTTGGCTACGGCATGCAAAATCCGGTGCTTCTGCGACGCCTGCGCCGTCTTCAGCACCCCGTTGTATACCACGGAGGCAATGGAGTGCACCAAGAAGGTCCCGTAAAGGCTCTAAAATACAGGCTGATGATAGTGATGAGGAAGCTGGCCCTACCACGAGCACATGCAGCTGAAGGTAGCTGAGACGAAATCCGCTCAAAGGTTTCAGGGCAAAATACGGCGCATAGAGGATCGGCTTCACCGTGCAGACGGTCGTCTCGGTAAGTTCGGCGGCGATCTGCGAATCATCGAGAAAAAGCTGATTTTTTTCCCAGATTCCTGGCTAGTTAGGCTTTCAAGTCTTCAGGTAGCATCATCAAAATCATCAAAACCCTACCACCACATTCAACTGCACATATTTATACTCCTTCGTCAGGTGCGCCTTTCCACTATGAAGGAAATACAGAGTGAGCACAAAAAATGGAAAGCCAAAAGCCCAAGAAAAATAATAGACACCGGCGATCCATAATTCTTCTTCATGGGACGGGTAGAACATCAGGACCGTGAGTTCTGAGAACGACAACTCGTCAACTTGTCTGAACTAGCCAATCGCCCGGCTACGAGGCGGCAGGTGGTTTTTGGGAAGCAATTCCAAAAATACACTGAAAGGGACCGTAATTATGGGGGCCATGGAGCTCTCCTAGACCGCCGCCTTTAGCAAATAGGTTTCTTCTGAGTTTTTTTTTTGCATTTCCGGTGCAAGACAATTTTTTGTATTGAAGGGTGATGGGTTGACCATCATAGAGCTGCGTTTTATTCAACGGCCGGACGTTCATCACTAGCCGGAACAGTTTTTTGAAGCATGTGAAGCGGTCCGGGCCATTTGTGCATGACACGAAGCGCCGCTTGCCATTTCACCGGTTCCACAGTCACTGGCGTGTGATCGGCCCAGGGGTTTAGCCTCTAAATGAAGGAAATTTAACTCCGAAAAATCACATAAAATCATCGAATCCTATACGGACTTACCAAATACGTTCTGCGCACGAATTGATAGATCGCCATTCGATATGGCTTCGTGGCGATCAGTATCACAAGATTATTTGCGAATGCTTGGAGCCCGGTACAGCTTGTAAAACCCGCAGGAACGTCCGATTTGAAAGTTTTATATATGGTTTGGTAGATCTTCGGATGCTTTATCACGATACGCCCCTTAAAGCGTCCAAAAGCTGACGTGGGCGAAGATACAGGCCTCAAGAAGTTTCGCAGAAAATTGGGTGAAAGCTTCCAGGCGAGATAACTCTGCATACAGACATTTGCATATGATACCTTTAACACCAATCGAAAGCCCTCGAGGAGTAGTTATCGATAGATGTTAAGATCATCGAAATCTGACACCGGATGACCGAGATATCGGCCCGCCAAAATCCATACATTTTCTGGATTTTGGTTCGGGTGCTAAAGCAAACGCTGCAGTTTTTGGCTCGCGCAGGCCAAAATGTATGGGATTTCGGGAAAAGTTCTAAGAAGTGATTTTATCTCATCATCTATCGATATCTACTCCTCGAGGGCTTTCGATTGGTGTTAAAGGTATCGTATGCAAATGTCTGTATGCAGAGTTATCTCGCTTGGAAGCTTTCACCCAATTTTCTGCGAAACTTCTGAGGCCTGTATCTTCGCCCACGTCAGCTTTTGGACGCTTTAAGGGGCGTATCGTGATAAAGCATCCGAAGATCTACCAAACCATATATAAAACTTTCAAATCGGGCGTTCCTGCGGGTTTTACAAGCAGTTCAAAGATTTTGTGCCATTACTTTCTTTCCGACCTGATAAATATTTATCTTTATAGTACATATCACCTAAAATACATCATCACTTTATTAATCGACTCTGATCTGAGTGCTTATCCTGAAGGTAGTGACGGCTTGCGTGACGGTGCGTCGGCTCAGCTCGCTGTGCATTTTGTGGTTTTTGCTGAAAAGAAGCAAATTGGCCGTATTTGGAACATAAAAACTAACTTGAATATCTTCAGAAATGAGTCGCGGAAGTCTTGTCGGTATCTCAGGTTGATGCCCATATTTATCATTGTCATAAAACCGGGCATTCCGGTGACAATCGCCACCAGCACATCACTGACTTCCCAGAAGTTCCACCTGCAAAAAGCCATGTAACCAAGTCGATTTTCTGGGAATGTTTTTTTGAAAATTAATCAAAGTCTGTTCGGAGGACAATCGGTGCTTGTTCGTTAGCGGGGGTGGGGAATTTTTATTGGGGGGAATTCTTTAATTCAGGGGAGTTAATCAAATATACATTTTGTTATAGCAGTTTTTCAGCGTCCGATTATCAAGAAAACCAGAAAAAGAAAGGGAAAAACCAATTCAAAAATTCTGCGATTTTTGAATTGGTATTATGCGATTTTCATCTCGCCAAAGCAAGATTTTGGGGTTTAACGATTGTTTATAACTTTCTATAGCTAATAAATGCAAGAAATGCTACAAAGATAATTTAGGCATGATTTCTAGGCAAAAAATGGGGCAAATTTAGTCATTCGTGCTACCCCCCGCTAACGAACCAGTACCCTAGTATCAGCTTACCTGATGCCAACCAGTACTACAGATGGCGCGGCCACGAAACCGACGGATATCCCACACACCAGCAACATTATCAAAAACCTCTGATCCCGCGAGCTGCGACTCTTCTGGCCCTGAACCTTCTTCGCAAAAGTTTGGCCTCGCGCGCCCTGTGACTTACCGCTGAAATGCAATAAATCATCGTCAGCGAGCCGAATGAGATTATGTAGCCGCAGATGAGGAATGTGTAATGCCAGGTAGAGTAGACTAAATTGGGGATATAGAGATTTTAGCCGTAAATTGGAGAGACAGACAAAACAATGTTCGTAAAACCTAAGCTCCAGCGCAAGTCTAAGCCTAAGCCTTAGCTGAAGCCTAAGCTTAAACTTAAGCCAAAACCTAAGCCTAAGCCTAATCCTAAGCCTAAGCCTAAGCCTAAGCCTAAACCTAAGCCTAAGCCTAAGCCATTAGACCGACCTTTACTCGTCGAGTTTATAACAGAGCAATGACGGGTCGTATTAATAGTATCATCACCCCGAGCCGATAAGGCCGCGAAAAGCAGGGAAGTCTAAAAATGGATTCCGTACTTATGACAGTTTCAGTTTACCAGTCCCGCCAAAACCACAAAAAGTACGAAGGACAACTTTGTCTTCCCGGAAAACAGCTTTTTGTACAGCACTGGATTTTTCGCTGCGCAAATTCTCTCCAGTGACATGAGAATCACCATATAACACGGCCATTCCATGCCAATATTTAGGAATTGATTCCAGTAAGTCTAAAAGTTACGGTAAATCGAAATCGTTCCACGCTTACCGTATAAAAACAGTCATCTACAGTAATATTTGTATACAAATTTCCGGTCAACAGCAAGTTGCCGCGACCGATACCCGTCAGAAGCAAACTGAAACGATCAAGGGTTTTTTTCCGAGGCTCGAAACCTTACCTTAAACTATCAAAAACCTCAAAGCATTCGTAGAAAATTAGGTACGTATATTTTGATCTAATCTGACGACGGCTGTATGCAAATATATTCAGAAAATTCAGTGGTAGTGATATTGTTCCTGGAATTGGGTGTTTTAAAGGGATAGGCAAGGCAGAACTATGGTTTTTGCAGTTGAATGCTCTTTCATTGCGTAGTGGATTATGATGTTTTTGGGCAGGAATTAAAATGGAAAAATTCATCGACGCCTCAATAAAAACGCTCAAGCCCTATCTATCGGCTAAGAAAAACAACTTTTAGAAGGCTATAAAATATTTTAATCTCTTTACAAAAACCACAGAAAAAGAGAAAATTCGGGGATAACATTTTTTCAGGTGGTTCAACTTTTTCAAAAAAAAACCCTTATCGAGCTCAAATTTCAGCAAAAAACCCCACCTAATGATACATAAAATGTACACATAAACATCGAAGCCCCATAGTTGACTTCGAAACCCATGTCGTGCATAAATGAGTCGCGAGCCCAGGGTCCACTGCAGCCGCAAAATGTTCGTCGTAAACCGACACCGATTATGGCCAACCTGAGTAATTTTGCTCGAATTTACGATCGCCAATCTGTGGTTCGCATTATCTCCCCCTGTGGTCTCTCTGTGTTTACTTTTTGATCCGCCTCCTGAACCAATTTATTATCAAGGAGAGCAATTCGGAACACGAGTCGCGATTTATGAAGGGTTTTTTGTGAGGGATAATTGTTATGCGGAAGTATGACAAGACGGGGCGGCGGGTGCATCCATAGAATATGTATTTCTCGAGGGAATTCCGGGTAAAAAAAAGGATTTTGGAAAAAGTGGGGGGCAATTAAGGGGATCCTGGATACCGTATAGTTTTGAAGCGCTGGGGCGTTTTTTGCGGAATCAGTTAAGGTATTCTTTCGGCTTGCAAGTGATATCCTTTATTGGATCTCCGTTTGGCCGCACCTACAACACGCGATCGCGATTTTTTCCTTTCCTTAATGGATTTCTAAAATTTTAACCCGACTAAAGGGTACGCGTTGCGTATCGCGGCTGCGTAAAATTCCCAAAAATCAAAAACTAGCAAAATGGGTTCCGGTTCGTTAGCGGGGAGGGGGATAAATTCGGTAATTAAGGGAAACCTATAGCGTACTAAAATTTTTCTGAAGTTTTCATCATTTTTTATGAACCTTCATAGCTAAAAAAATGCGAAAATTCCATTAAAACCGTTCATATTTGTTATTCGGCGACTACGGGAACATAGAGGAATTTCTTTCCCTCCCTGCTACCCCCGATAACACACCAGAACCCAAAATTCCTAGCCAACTTTTCCCATTCCCTTTAAAAACCCTCAAATACCGTACCTGGACTTTTAAAGACACTTGCTGAACCTCGGGCCGGCAGAAAAAAAATATACGCGGGGTGCAAATGTTGTTTCTTCGGCCTGACTTTTAAATGGGCAGATTGGCCCTGGGAATGAGAAACACCCTTGCGAAAAAACACCCCAAAATAAAGAGCGTACCCGGAAAGTCCCAACGAAAATCAGAAACTGTGGTGGGCCCGGGCCCCCAATTCTCAAGCAAATCAACAAATTGAAATGCCCTACGCGCCATTAACAAAAAAAGCAGGGCTTTGGGCTGCGTGGGAGCCCGGGGGCAATTGGGGGCGAAAAAAACTAGTGGAAAGGAAGACACATTGCGTTTAGCCGAGTGCAACGTAAAATCCAAGTTTTGAAAAAATTAGCTTCAAAGTTCCAGCGCCAGAATGGTGGCCTGAAAGACGCAAGTATCATGTCAGGAAAAATCCCTAACGTACTTTTTTGTATATTGAATGTAGTCGTAGGAAAACCGGACGACGAGCCGTCCCTGATAAGCCAATTTTGCCTAAAGAGTAGGCCGATTTTTACGTCGGCGTTCTTTCGGCCTGCCCACCAAAGATGAGCCACTATGGCTTCAGCGCGCAATCATCAAAAAGCATGAATATTGAGATTTATTGGCCAAGAAAAGAAGCTATAAAAATATCCTGTCTTCTAAAAAACGCCCGTACAGCGCCATTATGACGTCAAAACGTTTTTGCCCATAGGAATACTATCTGGCTTGCTCCAGTTTCGGTTCCCAAACTTTTAAAAACTCAACCCCGCTATTCAGCCGGCAAGGGGTATAGAGCACTCAAAATTAGCTTAGCAACTCTCATCTAAAGTTTCTATAAAACTTTCTAAAGTTCGAATTCTTTCCAAAATCTAAAAAGTTAGCCCGGGCTTGCCACCAAAAAGTTACATTAGGTATATAACCCTCAAAAATAACCCAGCACGCCCGCAGCAACTGACATTAAAATGCCACCAAAATTTGTCATGACCAGAAAAACAGCTCACACAGTTGAGTCCAGGTGAAAAATTAACGAGCTGGCCTGGGATTGGTGCCAAAAATTGCCCGCAACGCCGCCGGCCCCATTCAGCCGCTACCACCCCGTCCCGGTCATATCAGGGTCCAACTTTTGGCAGAAACTTCACGGTACAGAGACCACAAAAAACATAGATCCACATAAAACGAATCCGCGCGGGGCTAGCGGCGCGCGCAGGCAGAAATTGACCACCGAAACACTTGGATGTTTATTGTGGGCTGGTGCAAAATGTGTGGCCGGCGCGCTTAATAGAATTGAGTTTTTTCTCGTGCTCTCTCACACGCTCTCGCTAAAAAAAGGCTGATTTAACGCGGCAATACCCCGAATTGGTTATTTATCGGGAAGTAAATCGGTCGCAAAAAGGCCGGATTCTGACCCCAGATGAAAGTTTCCATTTTGTGCCTTTGCCCAGGATCGTTGGTTCCGTAATTAGGTTTTCCCGATTGAAAATACCA